TTTTTTTATTTTTTTACCTACCTACAAAAGTTAAAATGCGGGTAGTCCGGAAACTTATTACTTTTGCAAATGGAACATAGTGCAATTGTTAGTATATTAACTGACTTCTAAAATGCAGCGAGTGTGTGTTAACAGTCCTGATTTATTTTGCTATATTTGTGGCGAGTTTACGCCGAAATCGTAAGTTTCCTAAGCTTAGTGACGCTAAAATTAAAGAGGGTGTTTTCGTAGGTCCAGACATAAAAAAGCTGATTCAAGATCCATCTTTTAAATCTGCTCTCAATAATATTGAAAAACAAACATGGAAGGCTTTTGTTGATGTCACTAACAATTTCCTTGGTAACAAGAAATCTGAAGATTTTCGCGAAAAAATAAAAGTTTTATTGGACTACTACCATAAAATGGGATGCAATATGTCACTTAAGTTGCATTTTCTCCACTCGCATTTGGACTTTTTCCCTGAAAATATGGGATGCGTCAGTGCCAAACATGGCGAACGCTTTCACCAAGATGTTGCTGCATTTGAAAAGCGATTTCAAGGCAGATGGGAGCCTGCTATGCTCGCGGATTACTGTTGGAGCCTTATTAGAGACCCCTGCTACTGAGTACAAGAGAAAAGCCAGCTACTCCAAAAAAACTACGCCGTTTCAATTAAAATTACAATAAAATTATGGAAAATTCGTGATTTCGGACATGGATGTTTATCTGGACATTGAGATGTGATGGTGTGTGTATATTTGCTTATTTTTATTACTTTAGTGGCAAGAAATAGTAATCACATAATGCGACCTCAGATAAAATCAAAAGTTGAAAATTTGTTGAGTAGTGTTACATGGGATTCATAACATAAATAGTGAAAAGTTGGTGTTACATTGTACAGTGGCATAATATGCACCTCTGCCTACCCCTTCGGGGTTAAAGGCGTGATGTTATGTAATGTCAAACAACCCGATCGATTTTGAAAAAAATCTTCATAGACATAAGCTCTCAAACACAATAACAGCTTTTTATTGCGAAAATTAATTGACACATCATAGCCACAGGCCAAAGGCAGCGTTGACATAAATGACCATGAATTCATAATGAATAATATAAAAATATCCTTGTTTCCTTATTAATTTTAGTACTATAAATATACTTCCGATAATGTTATCTTAAGATTGGTATTAAAAACTTCCTATTGGGTTTAGTAAGACTACTTTCGAAGCTCCAAGGCCTACTGGTCTGGACTGGTGCTAAATTGTGAAATTTCGCCGTAGCTGTATGTCCATAAACTGTTACTCTAACACCAGAACTGTTTCTTTAAGTAAACAGAGTGTTTTTATTTTAGAATTTTGATTATACAGGACCTTTAGAGTTGATCTTTGTATTTGGAGACATATTCAAGACCAACACGAGGTTTAAAACGATTTTCAACAATACACTCGAATTATTATTTTAAATAGCCAACAGCAATTGTGTCAACACTAATTAGCACACCTATTCCTCTCCTCAAAAAACAGCTGCGACTCCGTAATGACATCATACCACAAATAAATCAATCAACAACCCCATTATCAAAATTGTCTCAGCAATTCCGTATATCAAACGGACAGATGTGCAGACGAACTAAATAATACATCGTTTGGCAAGATGACACAACGCATTGCCAATTAGGTCACGAGATGCAGTCTATGATGCAAGTTCCCCGGTCATTATGGGTAATATCCTAATCGATGTAGCCACAACCTGAATTCAACCCTACTACTTGGAACTTAGACTGTGTTTTCGTGTGACTTAAGAGTTTAACGGTTCGAGTAATGTTAAGAGCTGGTGCCTCTACAGGTAGGCTGGTATTTGATTGGCTAGATAAACATGTTTTGTACTAGTGATCGCCCATATAACAGTTGTATGTAGTGTTGGTATGAAACACTAGGTTTTTCTCATTGATTTTCTCTTTGTCAGTGCCATAAAACGTGAGAACGTTACCCAGAAATCAATGCAGTTGTGTTCAAGTTGTTTAAATAAAATTCCTGTCTATTCTCAATGTAAAATATATCTCAGTTTGTTCATGATGTATGAATGTTTGATTCCAAAGTTTGACCAAAAACTCTGTTTTCAATTTTCTTTTTCGTCCACAAGTGCTTGTTTAGGACAAAGTTCTCGTTCTTAACTCTTCTTAATATTTTCAATGAAATCTCAAGTTCATCTTAACTTAAACATGATTGAATTGATTCTTACCATTCCAAAAACAAATAAATTTGAATGATTATACACAAATACTCTTTATTGACTAACATAAAAGAGTGAAAGTTGGAGACGCCTATCTGTTAACTACTTTCGCCCCCTTAAGGACTGGTCATAAACCCGTATAAGCCGGTTAAACCTCAACCATTCGCGTAATCCGTAACGCAAACGCGAAACGTTACCGTTTACGTTTCATACGCACTTGTTATGCGGTATTTAGATAACCATTTTATCGTAAAGATATCTAACTATAAAGTTGTTTAATGTCTAAGTGTCAATGACCTTTGGTAGGTAGGTATGTTATATTTTTTGCTGTAATTTTTATGATTGGTTCACGTCATTTTAGTCATGCGCTCGCGCAAAGATGTTAAATACTATGTAAATTTGTTTTCGATCTAGGAAATAGATTGTAAATATATTCTAGATTTTGTATTTTTACCTAAAATGTGGTCTAGGCTTAGAATAATGCAAATATTACTTATTTGTCTTGAGGTTACTTAATAAAACCTGTTTTTTAAGGATAATAGGAGAGCAAAGGTTTCTCAGGCTGCGTAAAATATTTTTGTCAGCACCCCTACTCTTCCTGATACCGAGAAGTAGGCTCTTCTGATAAACCCGATCCCTTTGAACTGCCATCTTCCGCCACCAAACGTGGAGACAACGGCAAACCCTCAATTATTATATAGGCCTTTAACCGAGCAATGATCTATTTGATGATGATATATCCTGGATCGTTGATGATGATGATGATAAATCACGTCACACTTATACATTTCTACCATCAAACTTGACGATTCACTACATAGTCTAAAACAAAGTCGCTGTCGTCCGCCGTCTGTCTGTCCCTATGTATGCTTAGATCTTTAAAACTACGCAACGGATTTTAATGCGGTTTTTTTTTCAATAGATAGGGTGATTCTTAAAGAAGGTTTATATGTATAATACATGCATATTACACCCGTGCGAAGCCGGAGCGCGTCGCTAGTTTTCAATAATCAGTTAATTATTAACAGCACAATAAAATTGCCATTTGACAGTTTTTAGTATGGAAAAATTATAATGTTCAATGATATTCCTCGGGTAATATTTATCTAGCGTTGGAAAAATCTGCCCTTAATGTAACATACAGAATTATGTATGTGTGTGTTGTATGTAGTATACAGAATTGGGGACTTTCCAGGGTACCAAAATTTAAAATCTAATTAGTCCGTCAGTTAGATAATGAAAAAATATTAGACACGTAATTTTTATTTTATCGTATTAAGTTGCAATACTTAGATAAAATGGCGCTAAGTTTAGGAGTGGGAGGTCGTTACGTCATAACGTGCTACAAAATGTAGCACGCTGTGACGTCACACGATATTTCAAATTAATGTAACGTCGAAAGTATTTAATTTTGTCAGAAAAGAAAAAATACGTGTCTAATGATTTAAATTAATGTACCAGACGGACATTAACTCGTCGAGTACCGGTTTTGCAAACACAATTATAGAACAATAGGTTGCGGTCACCGGTGACCGCTTGGTGTTTGACAGTTTAACTCGTCGAGTACCGTCATTATAGACACAATTATAGAACAATAGGTTGCGGTCACGGGTGACCGCTTGGTGTTTGACAGTTTAAAATAAAATTTAGGAAACTACCCTATTATGCAAAAATGTATTAATGAAACTAGGATACAGGTAAACGGTTGAAGAAATGTGCCGTCAGCCGCGACCGCCAGTGTCATGGTTCACACACAATGTAGAAAGCGAAACACATGTATGAAAACTATTGTTTATTATACCTACGACACGGCACACGACTGCGATAATACATGCCTTTGTACCAGATAGAACCATGCTTCGGAAAAATGGGCCGGCTCGACAAGAGTGATACCACGGCATCACAGAAAACTGACGTGAAACAGCGCTTGCGTTATGTTTCGCAGTTTGAGCGAGGTTACCCAAGGTCCAATCTTCTATCCATGTAGCATTCACCGTTCATTCTCGTATTCACTGAAGTGTAGTTTAGGCAGAAAGGCGTTAGGTAAATAACTTAATGATGAGTCCCATATATCCAATGGTTTTAACTCCCTTATACCTACTTATGTAGGTACGCCAATGTACGTTTACATAAGTTTGACAATATTAAGAACAAAAACAGTTATTTGAAC